AAATATAGCCGCGATGCGTCGCGTCCCAACGTTTCCCCGATTAAATTAGAATATAACTGGATCTTGTGCATCGTTTCATCAACCACTCGTTTCATTCACCACTCTTCGCGAATTTATCACGAATAAAATTAAAATTCCGTTTGTCCGCGTGGTTGTTTATTCGGTTATCACGCAGAAACGACTGACCCGATTTTCAATTTCACAATATGTATATCATATAGATAATCCAACTTAATACTGTGTGTCACTGATCCTACATTCGATAAGAAAACTGCTGCGTGGATGCGATTGCAAAATTGACAATTACATATTATATAAAATGTTAACATTGACATTTTAGAACAAAAATTAAAATTACGAGAAAAAATGTTTTTATGTCTCGCATAAATATCTTTTTTTTTGTTCAATAAGTTCTAAATTTACATTTTGTTTTCTTTTAATGTAATTTATTGGTTTTAAAATGTGATTATTAAATAAATGAGAAATAAATGCATTTTCCGCGATTGGGATTATTAAAACACTTGTCGATTATTTTATGATGTTTTGAAGGGAAGCTTATGCATCTTTAAAAAGCTTTTATTACAAACAATTGTCTTTGCTCGACATCCTTTTCATTTGTTAATCCACGCGAGCATTTCAACTCATTTCAAGTTAGAATCGCGAACTCTGTTTTTCTCGCAATTAGGTCAAGCGTATAAGTATCGGAAAGTAACGCTCGACCTAACATTCTACGTTTTATTGATACAAAAATGCTGTGATGCGTATTTGCATTATTATCGTACCGCCATTCGCAGTGTTAATCGTCAATGTAATCAAATAAATCCGCGGTTATATTTTTCTTTACAATTATTGGTATTTCCACTTAATTGCACAAAAAATTCATCTACAATTTTTATTTTGGTTATAAACTTGATTTAAATCTTTTTGTTGACATTATATTTTTCTTTGAAAGTAATATTAAATTGTTACTATATTTGTAGCATTAATATAAAATTATGTATATCAAAGGAATAAATTATAAGACATTTTTAAATAGAAGATTACGAGCATGACGTCGGATTGCAACGAGAAAATGTAAAAATAAAACTCAATATGATAAATAGAAAAAATAAGTTTTTCATCTCTCTTTCAGACGTCTCAAGACACCATTTCGAAATAGACATACAATTAATAATTACTTATGCTTTTTTGAAAAATCTCGACTTTGACTTATTTTCAACGCCGCAGGCTCGAAGCATAATAAAACAATTTTTGCTCTTTTCATAGTTTATAATGATTCATCTTGGTAGCCATAATTACACATTGTTAAGCATACCTAATCATTACGCATCGTGTTTAATTTACGAGATATACATACGTAATGAAATAGCAATCCTTATATATTCTTGTAGAAGAAGTGTCTATTTTAATGACTCCGTGTGTGATAAGCTTGTATAATTTAACCACCTGACTCTTGTCAGGCCTGATTGTTTCTCGTTACAAATAATTTGACGATAACCAAATTTTCCACACGATTGTGTATCGTATTAAAGCCAACGAGGATTATTTCGTCTCGTTGATTAAGTGCTTGGATCTTAATTGCCGTTACCAGTTAACGAACTAGCATTCCTCTGCCCATCCAAATCGTTACATCTACCTTATCTTGATCGTCTTCGATTTTAAATCAACCAAAACTTTTGCGTTCAACGTAACACAGAATTACTTCAGACAGTCAATGAGCTTGTACAGCACACGTAACAAGAAAAAAATATCTTTCTGCGTCTTTCCATTATTCCTAGCCAGACGCGAGATTCGTGACATCTCTCGTTTCTCGGCTCGTTAAACGTCAAATGGAAAGCGACTCCTAGAGGGATTCATTCTATTTTATTGTTTCGAATTACGATAACGGTGCGTGTTTTCAGCGAACTACACTATGCAATTCACATTGCATTGATCTAGATGATTTTTTCTTTTTTAATTGTAAACATTTGACGATGTGTTTGCGACGCAATCGAGACGATTGTATAAATATTATTGAAGCGGCGCTTTTTCTCACTCGTTCCAAGTTAAAAACCAATCAAATAGACAGGCAAGCAGCTTTGCGCGATTATTTCTTTTCTCTTGGCGCATTTTATTTCCCAATAATGCGCCGTCTTGCAATAGTAGGTCCTTCCATGTCGCATCACGCCCGATCGGAAGCCATCAAGATTCTCGACGAGTAATTGAACTTGATTCCACATCTATGTATTGGCCCTGCGTCCTTGAATCTCTGGATATGTTCGCGCCACAAGTGTGCAATAAATCACTGCAGCTTGATAGATGCTCACGGATTGATCGCCGACAGAGCAATCGTACAACCTTGAAACTGTATAAAAAATGTTGCACTTTATACGTACAAAGCAGAATTATTGTATATAACGCAATTGCTACTGGTAAGAGAAATGTTGATAATAAAGAATTTTTTATAAATTATAATTCTATATATTAATATTGGTTTTTCTATATTTGATAAATAATTTATAATTTATCTAACAAAAAGTTTTGTATTATATAATAACAAGAGAAAAATAAAAAGTGCAATTATATTATACATTTTTATTTTTTATTTTTTATGAAAGTTTTATTTATAAGAATGTTTAAAAAGTTGTAGAGGAAATATCTCATTTGATACTAATCATTCTATCAATAGAATATGTCTACAAGAGCTCAGCATTCAATAATAAAACTGTGATTGTACTAAATTGTAAATTGTATTATTTAAAAATAGCAAAATTGAAATACCATACAGAAGATATAAAAAGACATTCGGAATGTATAAATATATATCGATGCTGCAAATATGGTCGTTATTTTGAAGCTGAAAGCTCGCACAACCCCGAGCGAATTAAGTTAGTTGCAACTACGAGAGTACATCAAAGAGAGAGCTATATGCATGCAAATATTTGTTTCATGTTTTAATATAAAATTCTTTAGAACATGCGTTTATTAACATGCATATTTTTAGTATATTCTTTACATTTAATTATCAATTTTTAATAAACACCTTGTATTAAATTAATAAATTCTTTAATCAAATTATTCAAACTAATTGTAAAGAAAAATTTACCATATCTGCGCGAAAAACAGGATGCGACTGAAATACAAATTAAGACACTTAATAATATCTGCGGTTAATTTCTTTTAATATTCAAATATTTTTTCAGAAACTAGTGAATAAATGTTATTTAGAATATACTTATTAAAAAATTAAACAAATATACTTATTTTTGGTAGACGCTTGAATTCTTGAAAGAGATTTAACGACATTGTCGAGCTTCTTGATTTTATCCGTCGTAGGCGGATAATACGATATCAACAGTTCCTTGAATTCATTTGCCTTCTGAAATAAACCATTTGATTTGCTTCAACCATAGAAGTATTATAAGACGAATACAAGTTTAATTCTTGAGAATCGGATGATGATGAATTATTAAGTATTAGATTAATTCTCGTTACTCCATCAAGATGCAGACTCGAAAAATCTATGAAAAGCAATCTCTTATTATCCGATCTATGCACTTTAAAATTCACACAATGTAACTTTATGGCTTTCACGTACATTTTTCATTCTTAAAGTTTTTTTCAGCTTCAAGATTGAAGAGACTTATATAAGCCAATATTCATCACGCAGATTATTATTATCTGTAATGCAATATAATGATTTACGTTTGTTAATAAAGTACATTTTGCGATTATTTGTGCAATTACATTATCATATTATAAAATGACATTAAATTATAGATTAAACTACACGAGAAATGACGTATTTAATGACGTATTTGGAAAGAAGGTTGCCAGGCTTCAGCCTTTTTCCTGAAATCTAAGATCTAATCGATTAAAATACCAGCATTTTCGTAGTTATATAGAGCACTGTTTTATTAAACAAATAAATTTCAAAATTTTTTTTGCTTAATGTTAAATATAAATGTTGTTTAATATAATCGCTCGCTCAAAAATTCCAATTCCCTCCTTTTTCTGAAACATAATCCCAAATACGTCATTGTTAGCATATAAATATGCAATTTTATATACAACGATTTAAAGTAATGCAAATCCAATATTAAAACTAAATATAGCTCTGAATATATACTTTATCTAGGTCTCGGATTTCATAAAAACTTTTTTATCTTGATATTCCGCATTTCTCGAGACAAAATCGCGAGTGAAAGGAAAAATTAAAATTTTCAAGACGATGCACATTAACACGCGATATTATTGCATAGTGATCGATAATCGAACAATCAAAAAACTATACACGACGTGTGGTACTTTTATCTATAACCGATGATATCTGCAGAATCGAAAAAAGTTCGTAAGAAACTATCGAGACACAATATATCGACGCAACGACGTCGACGAATGGGCGCCACCGGAAACTTTTCATTCCCTTCTCGTCAACTCCTTATCCTGCCGAAAATCTCACAAACTTTAATAACATATCTTTTTCACGAGGGCAACTCGCAAATTCTTTAGAAGATAATAAAGTCTCACGCAAACAAGATTTAAAAATGAATCTGAATTTTTATGATGAAATTTAAGATAACGACCCTGCTTGTGTGTGATTAAATGTGTGTGTGAAAAAACCTACATATATATACGCTAATTATGTCTCTTCTTTATTTGTAACCATATTGAGAAAAATTAAATTAATATTTTTATATTTTATTTGTAAAATACAATAGTTACTGCACTTATATAATCTAGAGAAAATATATTTTTATATATAACATTTTAATTATTTTAATCATAATATTTGTTTTTCTCTAATATATTTATAGAAAAGATTTGTTTTTTATATTTAAAAAAATTATATAAAAATATCAAAACGCAATTTTGTTTGTTTGAAATCCATCGTGATCATCGCTACGTCTGACAAGAGAAGAACAACGAAAAGACATCATTCAATTTTTATCTGAAATCAGAGTCAACTCGCGCGATTTTGTGACGCGACTCGTCCGGAGGAGGTGTACCTTTATCAAATAATGGCGTCGTCCAAGAGAAATGCGAGAGACCGACCTAAGAAGAAGCGGGTAATAACAGAACGAGGAACGCGTCCTGGTATCCGTCATCGCGTATCAACGCAACGTAAACGCGCAAACACTCCGCATCGACGACAACCGTACGATTCTGTCAGTATACCTCAACTGGTCTACGAGCTCCTCACTATCGATAAATACAATCAAGGTAATGCGTCGCAAGCACCGGTAGAATAAACTGCAATTGGACTCATTGTCAGACATGAAATAAAATTAATTAGAGCCGAGAATTTTGTATCTCTTGTCAGATGCGTACACCGCATGTAACTCTGATCGGTAACTGATAAAACGAGTTGAAATTGTATCAGCGCAGCTAGAAATGGCCCAAAGATACGTGCGTGTAAGCTAACATCGTTACTACATTTGTCGTCGTAGAGGCGAAACGCTTTCAGTCTCCGGAACGCTTCAGGACACCCCGTCGAAGAATACAAAAATATCACGAACGGCAAAGGCTTCCGTACGAGGTGGTCGACCGTCTTGATAGTCCGGAATCCGTCCAAGTGCCCAAGTACGGGATGGGATCTAGACCTATGTCCATTGAAAGTCTCACGGAATCGATTAACGCTCCAAATAACTCGGTGCCAAGTTCCGCGAACAGCAGCGTATCTGATATCTCCGTGAAGCCGATCGCGTTAGCGAACTCGCTCAACAGCGCCAGAGCGCTCTTCAAGAAAAAGTCCCTGGTCCAGGTTATAAACAATTATATCAAGGCAGGCATCGAGGAAGGTATTACTTTTCAAGTCCAGTTTTCCTTTTAGCGATTAAAAAAAATATATAAAATAAGACGCGACAATATTTCCACAAATTGCATACGGATGCAATTGCATCCCGGGCAGCTGTCATTACACACCGCTGTTCGTAAAAGCATTCTTGACCACGAGGTCGGGTTTCTCGAATCGACGACGGAAGTAGTCGTGCCCAACGAATGGCCATCCACGTTGCAGGGAAGCGACAGGCGAAAAAGTACATCCGCAAGGCGTTGTCCTTTGGCGTGAGATCGGGTTACCTGATCCCGGCCGATCGACAGGGCAACGTGCTCCACGTGTGCCCGACCCTGGACACGGGATCTTGGAGCACGGGACTGACTGACGTCGAGTCGCGTCGAAGACGACGCGTCGCGCGACGAGGAGAGATCCGGCCGACGACGCTCGACGACCGCAAGGCGATGCGTCGGGGCATTCCGCGGAATAAACCACGTCACGACGTGGACCAAGAGCAGATCACGCGCCCCAAAAGGAGACACTTCGCTCAGAGTCCTGCTAGGACGAGTTTGAGCCCGAGAGCGAGCAAGCAGAAAAAATCGTCCGACGAATCGACGTTGCGCAAGAGAAACAAGCCAAAAACTGTCATGAAAAGAAAGAGGTCGGTTCATTTCTTGATTACAGAAAGATAATTCATTTATCAATCTCATGTAATTTTCCCATTATAAGTTTTAATCTAAATAATTAAATAACTCTCATCTCGTCCGCAGAGATAGATTATTTTATTACATTAATTATCGTACGTATCATTGTGTTAACGATAAAAATTAATTACTCGGTACAAAAAAATTGTAAAATAGTTTTCATATTTTCTCGTAAAATTTTTTGCAGTATTATTTGATCAAATAATTATCTGTTATAAATGCATCATCAAAAATATCGCTTAATAAATGCATTATAAGCGCCTTAATAAATTTAAATTTTCATGTGCAGCGAGAAAATAAAAAGATTTATGTTACAGCAATATTAAATCCCTCTTTTTTCAAATGGTATTCTAGTGAATAACAAAATACTTATCTATTTTATATATCATGCGATACATTCTTCAAGAAAATATGCTTTGCATATTTGTACAAGAGAGAATTTTCATTTAAATCGTATGTCTGTTTTTAGCAAAATTAACGATACTCGGAGACAACAGCGAAAAAGAGGCGACGACAAAGATGTGAGAAAACCGGTCAAACGACGTCGCATGGCTTCGTCTTCGAAACGCACTGAAAACAATCAATTCGAACCAATCGAGCAAAGTTGCACGAACGCGAACGAGGGAGATCGCAATCAATATAAAGGCAATGAAGATAATTGTGTGACAATTACTGAGAGGCGGAAGTCGACGTCGAGTCAGGAAGACGGTTCGGAGGTGGAGACACAGAAAGCCGGGATGAGTATTGACGAAAATCGTGAAAATGCAGAGTGCAAAAACGCCGCGGACGATGACGACGACGCTGACGACGACGAAAAGTCTGATGAGGCGAGCATTGAACACAGCACGAACTGCGCGATCAGAGAAATGGATGCTTAAGAAATTGAGCGCCCACCTCGAGTGAAGAATGATTTTCTTCGTCCGGAAGATCTCTCATCTTTGTACGCTCCGTCTCATTCATCGTTTGTTGAATGTATTTACTGTACTCCCCTTTTTAGAAATCTATTTTGGAATTACATTTTTATTTTGCAAGCATGCGTTTATGTAATTCTTTCGGTCAAATTTTTATTGAGAGTGAGAGAGAGAGAGAGAGAGAGAGAGAGAGGAAAAGAAGCTATTATGCAAATGTGTAATTTTGTTAAAATCCCTTTGAATGCTATTCCAAGTTTAGTGAGAAATCTAATCCAATATTACTTTTAACAATAAAATAATTCATATTATTCTGCTTTTAAAAATGCAATATAAATAAATTAATAAAAATTTAGATATATTTTTTAACATTAAAAAAAAAGATACTCAACTCGAAAGAGTTTTCAATTTTAATTTTGCTCTTATTAAGGACAAGGGATTAGACGATATTTATTGATTGCTACATATATATACAATACTATCGTTATTCGGAATTGTTGCCAATTTAATTCAAATAGGCAAATTGTTACTGTCACGAACATTCAATCCCTCTTTCTCTCTTTTTCTCTCTTTTTTCCTTTCGGTGATGCATTACAAATCTGTGCAATTTCGAGTCTTAATGTAATTAAATCGATTGCGATATCGAATTCAATTTGCAAATGCATAAAAAAAATTTCTTTGGTTGATTAGCCAAAGAAAATCTGTATTTAATAATACAATACATTAAATGATACATTAGTGTTTGGTTGCACTTGATTTATTAAAGAATTCGATAATAATCGATTAGTCGATAATCGCAAGACTTTGCGTTGTTAAACAAAGAACAAAAGGAAAAGACAAGAGAAGAGGAATGTGCCGATGGAAAAGGCCGTCGGTTGATATTTCTCTTTAAATTTTCAATGTCTCGGACATTTGCAGACAAAATTTCGCGCCACGACTGACCGATTATCCAGAAAATTCTAAAAATTGAAGCAGATGTGCTCAACAATTGGGAGAAGCGAATTTTTCACACCGTCTAAAGAAATATTGGAACCAACAGTAAGCACAAAATGGCTCGCATAAAGAAACATCGAAATGCGCAAAGCCACCAAAGAATGAGTGAGTGATAATTTCGACGCACTAAAAAAAGAATGATTTTTTCATCTTTTTTCTCTCTCTTTTAAAATTTTTATATTTTTTAACCTAACATGCAACAAGCTTTATACAAATTTTAATTGGATATAATAAAAAAGAAAGAAAAAAATCTCTTAAATTAAAATATAAATTAATAAAATAATAATTGTATATATATAAATTAAATATTATATTATAGATATTTATTTTTATATATTTCTAATTCATCAATTAAAATTAATTATAATTACATATAAATTTATCAATGTGTTATTAGCTTGTACTCAGCTTGTTTGTATTCAAAATACAGCTCTGATTTTGATTGATATAATATATTTGATATCAGCAGCATTTAATTAGCATTAACAGAGTGCGTCAACATACTTTATCCAATTTTTCACGGTCTCTTGATGTAATTGCACAGTTTTTTTATTACAAATAAATATCTGTTCAATCTAATACAATCTCTCCACAGAATCTCATCGTCGCAAGCCGAACATTCCCGAGTTAATCTACAAGTTCCTCGTCAACGACACGGAACGCGCTCTCCCAACCAAGTGTCGCTGCTGCAGCCGAGAGAACGACGAAGTCTTGGATTCCGCGGATACTTCGAGACTCGCCGGCAGGAACATGGGCTATAGAATACATAAGGATAGGGTTTCGAAAACGCGCCGTGTTAAGCGACGTCCTACTTCCACAAATCTACCGATCTCGTACTTGCGAAAATGCGTGGGCGGCGAAGGTAAGGCATTAATTGAGCCAGTAGTAGTTATCAATCATTTCACCCACACGCAACTCAGACTAGAACATTGGGTATTTAATCATCGATATTGAGAACGCGTTATTATGTAGATTAATACGTAGAAACTCTCTACGCAATTATTACGCCAATTATAAAGTACGTCTGATCATTATCTGTTTTATCTACTGCCCATTCTGCCGGACGGTACTTTTACCTTTTCTCCTTTTTTCTTTTTCTTCTACGCTAATTATAAATTATTTCTGACACCTGTATTTAATATGCACTTTGCTGGATGATCTCTTCTTTCTCTTTCTCTTTCTCCTCCTGCTTTTGTTAGCTTTTTGATTTTTGATTTTATACGTGACTTCTCCGCGGTCCTTTTTAATTCCTTGCGCAATATCGATGATTGTTTATTATATCTGCAAATATTCTACAATTGATACCATATTTTAAGTATGCTATAAATAACATTTTAAATAAAAATTAATACATGACACATGTGTCGTCGTAGTCAATACGATTGATATATTCCACAAACTTGTTTTATCAATACAAAATTCAATTTATATTCGCAGTTTAATACATATCTAATTTAAATATAATTAAATAGTATATTGGAAATTTAATAACACACATATCTTGTTAATAACTATATAACATATTAAATTTATATCTAACATTTATATAGATATTAAAGTAACTACGTTCTATAGAGAGAAAGAGAGAAATATGATACGTGAGAGCAGCTACTTGTTCGAAATAACTTTTTACCTCGGATAAATTTCACAAGTTTCCTTTGACAGGCACGAGGAAGGCGAGAAAGTATATTAAGGAGGCGTTAGATTTCGCTGTCGAGTCCGGCTATCTTATTCCCTCCGACTCGACGTATAAAGTTCTACACGTATCCGCGGACTTGATGAAGAGCAACCCGCGGACGAGCAGAATTGATACATGCGACACGGGTCTGTCTAAGGAACGCGACTCACCGGCCAGACTCGAGGACCTCCAAGTGCAAGAGCAACGGAAACGAAGGAGACGAAGAGGTCGCCCACGGGGTCGACGATCGAGAAGCGTCTCGAGAAGACGTCGCAGAAGCAGGACGAGAAGCAGGAGACGTAGAAGGAGGAGTAGGAGCAAGAGCAGATCGCCCAGAGTACGCAGTAGATATGGCAGGTAATTGTCAGACATAGTTGACGCATAATTGCGTGCATAACAATGCATATTAATTCCGATAATAACGTTCCCAATATATCGCACAATATCACATGATTAGAATCTCGAGAGCGCGAAATCCTACGAATCGCGAATGAGTTAAATATGAATAAAATAATGTATTAATAATCCATGAATATTTAAAATCAGTTAAATGTAAATAAGAGATAAAATATTTACATCTATAATGTGAGGTCTTCTAATTAACGTTCCTCTAATAATACGCATCGTCGTACGATCGATGAAATTATTTATACCGCCACATAATTGCCCCTGTTAGGCGAAATAATTAGCATCTAGCGTCATAATCGCTCAGAGTGTGTTTGCACTCTGTGCCACAGTATAAGTCTAGAAACGCGATAAAACGGTCAAAGGGATTTCCAGCCCGCAGAATCCCGAAGAGGTTGCCGAGGACGAGGTGGACGATTACGAGATGGATGAGAACGATCGAAAGAGCAATATTCACACGGACGACATAGAAAGGGAGCCAAAGACCACGCGATCGAAGCAGCTCGACGAGGGGCAATCCACGAAGAAGACTGAAGAAGAAAACGGCTCGGATTTGTCGGCCGACGAGGACGAAACCGACGACGAGGAAGAGGGAAAGAAAACTGACATTACGAAATCCTAACTTGATTGCAATTTTTTTCTAAAAGAGAAACTTTCTCGTTTAATTTCACAAGTGACAGAAAATTAATCTTGTATAATCGCCCCAATTTATTTACACTTTTTCATATTTGTTTACAATTTTAAATATGTGATACAAATGTAAATGTGTAAATGGTCGTGGTCTTCAATGTGCAATAATAATACACGTAATTCCGTAATAAAAATGCGTCGTGCGTTCTCTTACAAACACATATAATCATCATTTATCGAGGGAGAGGCGTGTTAGATTTTATTTCGAAATAAATCAAGAATTTCCGATCAAAAGTGACAGAAAAAATGGTTTTCAGCCTAAAATTCTGGACTCTTTTCAAAGTTATATACCCAGGTCCAGAGTAAAGAATTATTTTACGACTCCAAAAACTTATAAAATTGCTCGGAGGTTAAATTTTTCTCGCGGATTTATGACGCCAATCGTTGAGCAAAAATTCTTCGGGATTTTCTTCGAAGATATCTTACAATTCGGTATTTCTGTCAGGAGCAAGAAGCAAGATGAGCATCGAGCAGGCTGATCACGCTGCGGTAAAATACGTAATCCGCGTTCAAAATGGAATCCGAGGATCTTGCGGACGGAGTCTAGAATTGCGCGTCCCCTTCATACGCTTGCGTGTGAATTGGAATCAATTCCATCAGCAATTCAGGATAGATGTTGCACGATACTGTAAATCCCGAGGAAGCTTTTACCAGCTAAATTGATCTAGTTCATTTCTTCATGCTTTTATTAGTGGAGGATGAAAAGATGGTAAAACGCGTTAGAGACAAATGTCGTCAATGTAGACGCAAAGAGAAATGCGAAATAATACAATAATAATTTCTTAATCTAATTATATACTTTTAATAATTAGATACACATTTTTGCTTTATAATATTTATTATCAGAATGATTCATTTCCAAACCACAAGTCTTTTAAAATTATCTGAAAATTTTTATGAAATTGATTTAATCAATTTAAATCGTAAAATTATTTCTATATTTTTTATTTAGAAGTTATAGTTTCTCACAACAAATAATCTATTTTCTACATCTTTTTGCGTAATTTGTATATTAATATTGCTTCTCTCTTCACAAGTTAACTTGTGAAGAGAGAAGCAATATTAATATACAAATTAATCTTTTTTGCGTAATTTGTATATTAATATTGCTTCTATCTTCACAAGTTAACTTGTGAAGAGAGAAGCAATATTAATATACAAATTACGCAAAAAGATGTAGGAAATAGATTATTTGTTTAATAAACCCTAGTTCTTTTCTCTCTTATTGCGCTAATATAAGAAAGTAAGTACAACATAAAAGACATGAGACAAGGATATGAATTCTCTTAGAAGCGGCGTTTTTTCGCTATATAAACAGTAGGTAATTTCATCTTTACAAACAAATAATTCGCAATCGTCGAGACAAAAATTTGGCTATTAGTGAAATCATGGAGGTCTCCCTAAGCAATCTTAATATTCCATGTGTGCACGTGTCGTACAAAGAGACACGAAAACGTCAGGAATATTATGAAATATCAACGCGTGTCTGTGCGATAAAGTCGTCCGGAAAAGAAAAATAAGGGCAGCCTACGAATTACGGAAATTGTGTGTAATGTCCCTTAATTGGACGAACATAAAGACGGTACCCAATAGAGATAATTTCCCACGCGCGTGTCCGCAAAATATAAACGCAGAACCTGCGGAATTTTTATCCCTCAATAATAACTACATCCGCTATTCGGTCAGTTCTCCAAGATGCTGCGATTGCGCGAGAAGGTTAAAAGTTTCATCATAAACAGGTAACGACAATGCCTCTTTAATTCTAAGCGTAATGGCAGCTTCATATATGTCTACTGTTAATTTTGACGTTAGATTGAGTGTAAAAAAAGGCATAAAACATATGTATAATATGTATAGTATTAATGTAATATAATAAAACTATTCTGTTAATTATATAAATTATTTAAGATTCTTTTTATGGTCCTTTTGACTGCAAATTCATATTAAATTATATTAAAGTGAAAAATTATGTGAATTTTTGATCCATATGCTTGTTATGGGAGGAGGGGAATCAGACATTTCAGTTTTCAAAAATGTTTAAAAACTTGCATTTCAAATAAAATATTTAATATACCTACTTTAAAAATTAGGATGATTGCACGCACGGAAAGTAATTTAATGTTAAAATTTGTATGAAAGTATTGGTGTACTTCGTAAACGTAACTTTAAAAAGGGATATTTTCATTCTCGCAAGTCTCGCCATAAACGTTGTGCTCATATATTTTGTAAAAAAGAATATGCCAAAGTTCGAGCGTTAGAGCTTTCTAGCAACGATGAATAGAATTAGTTTCCCGAGGAAAAAGAATTATTTTTCTTCGGCGAAACAATATATAAGTTTTACTTGTCAAAATTAAATTGGTAATATAAAAACTAAACCTTTTTCTCTCTCTCTTTTTCTTAAATTTATTATTTTTAAAACCTCGCAATTATCCATTAAATCTCTTATTGATTACTTATTCTGTATAGAATTTTTCTCGACAAAGAATGAATTTAAAATAAAATACATGGTTTTTTCTTATTTATGTACATTTCAGACGTCTAATTGATTAAATTGATCTACTTTATATTGTTCTCTTGTATAATATTTCTTATTCTCGACCAATTTCTTAAAGTCTCTAATGTTCGATAAAATTGTAGTTATTATTACAGTCGTCCCTGTGTTTGGTGCCAAAAATTATGAGTACTTACTTTTAGATTATTTACGACAGAAAAAAATTTATTTGTTAATAAACAAGGCCCGGAAGAGTTCCGTTTAACGAGATGTTTATATATATGCACACAAATTTCTGCGTAGACGCCTAAATACTCGTTTAACAATTTATTACAGTCGTCCCTGTGTTTGGTGCCAAAAATTATGAGTATGGTTACTTACTTTTAGATTATATACGACAGAAAAAAATGTATTTGTTAATAAACAAAGCCCGGAAGAGTTCCATTTAACAATATATTTATATATATGCGCACAAATTTCTGCGTAGACGTCTAAATACTCGTTTAACAATTTCCCTGCATGCAAAAAATCCAGGCAAAGGAAAGGATCCAAAAAACAAGAGATATATGTATGACAAAAGATATACATTAAATGTGAAAATCAATAAAAATCTCAACAGCAATTGACGTGGCGCAAATATGGGCCGCATTAGAAGTCTGATCAAATCCAGACTTGCGGCCGTTTAACTTTATAATGAATACCACGCAATTTATGTATCAGGCGCAAGGATGGCCCTGATATGTATCTTTCCAATTCTTTTAGATAAGGCTGTAGTGTGGCAAACTTGCATGGTGCTAGCAAGTGTCGTGGCACCGGCAAGGCAATTTCTACCAGGGATGTTTTATAATGTTTTAAATGTTAGTACTAAAGATAATAATTAACGTTCCAATTTCCAATACTAAAAATAATTTGTAACAAATGAATTTGATTAATTTGGCTTCTAAAGGGCTCGTGTATTAACCAAAATTAAATATGTGGATATTATTCGTATCATTTGTCATACGCATTATCAAATAGTTATAAAACAGAATCCCATCAAGTTATATAACTTTATTCTCGTCAATCAAAAACTGATAATCTCACACGATATAATTTGTTGCAAATACTATAAAACTTTGCATAAGTCCAGCTTCCAGGTTACGACACAACTCTCGTTCAATTCCAGAAACTTCTACTTAGAATGTTTCCGTTATATCTGCGAACTGATCGAACAATCGCGTGACCTTGTCTAGCTTTCAAGCTTCCATATATACCTGATGCATTATCTACTTTTTTTCACTACTTTTTGTTCGTTCGTTTAATAGTTGCAGTTTGAAACATTTATCGTAAACTTTTTTCTTATAGGTATCCGTTTTTTCTGAAAAAATATATCCCTATTTTATAAAATATATACTTACAGAGAATAAGAAAAGAAAGAAGAGAAAAAGAATAGAAAGTCAATTTTTAAGCTAGATATTTATACATCTTCAAGATTGCATTTTATATCAGACTATTTGCTTTGCATACTGATTTTATACGCTACATAAAAGATTTTAAATCAGATTTAAACATCTAAGCAACGAATAGATGGCAAAAATGCACAGATCTTACAGCGGACAATTTATCTTTCACAGAGAATATCCAAACAACAGCGTTACCCATTTAGAGAGTATAAGTGCATCACGCTACATACTTGTAAGGTACTTGTAAGCATTACGTCGTTTTCTTTACTTTTCAGCTTAATGGCTGTCTTCCAAGATTAGTTCTACAAGCTACAATGATAAGATGAAGTGTGATTGATACAAGATCGTGTCTTGGCAAAAACAAAGTCAACTGTCTAACTTGCTCGAAAAATTCGAATTCCTCCAGATAGAGCACGATTCGATTCCATGTTCTTATACAGGGTGTTTCAGAACTGGCGGACAAGTTTTTAATGTCAGATTTCTGATATCATTTGGAGACGATTCTTCCTTAGTGAAAATGTTGAGGAAGACCATCATCTTTAGCTTGTTCTCAATTTTTGCTATTATGTATCATTACAACTAATTGTAAGCCTTATATTAAAATTCTATTAAAGCAAACTCCTACCTAAAATTAACTGAAGATTGTAGTTTTTTTCCACAAAGAGTAATTTCCAAAAATCTTTTCTTCCTGGTATCTTTTGGAGACGATTCTTCCTTAGTGAAAATGTGGAGGAAGACCATCATTTTTAGCTTGTTTCCAATTTTTATTGTTATTATATCATTATAACTAATTGTAAGCCTTATATTAAAATTGTATTAAAATTAACTGAAGAATATAGTTTTTTTTCCACAAAGAGTAGTTTCCAAAAAAACCTTTCTTTTCAACTGCTTATAATTCAAAAATTATTGGTGTCTCGACATTTTCGCTGAGGAAAAATCATCTCCGAATGATACCAGTAATCTGCTAATTAAAAACTTTTCCGCCAGTTCTGAAACATTCTGTATATACAATGACATCTCTCCGGATCTCTCTCTCTCTCCCTCTTATCTCTCGCTACAATCACATACGCCGACAAGTATCCCGCGACCTTGACTAGCCCGTGAACCTTAGCCCCGAAAATTTACGAGCGTTCTCCCCGTCGCCTTTTTCCACCCTCGTCCTCCTCCACGGAGACTCCGCGTCGGATCACCGTCCACCCTCCTCCACCATCGTCGCGCCGTATTGTCCCGAGCATTATACTCATTCCGCTCACTTGGCTGCGGGTGCGTCGCGTCCTGTCGCCGCGGTGCACACATCGAAAGGGGAGGAAACGGATCGATCGTGAGGGCTGCATCGCGCCTTCTCGAGGACGACAACGAGGATGAGGAGATGGGACGTCGCAACTCGAGACGTTTTCCCGCTTCTTACGTTCGCTCTCTTTCGCGTCCACGTCACCGTCACCGTTGTTGTCGCGGTTGAGCCGGCGAACGGACGAGCGGTTCCGGTTGACGTTTGCGCACCACGTGGCCACGCGGGATCCGCAGCAGCGTCCTCTGGCTGGCCGCATCGAGGGGGAGGTTGAATGTCGCGGTGGTGGAGGAGGAAGCGGCGACGGCGGCGACCCGATGTTGGCAGGCGCGTCCGCATACTCTCCCTCGGACGCCGCCGGAGAACAGGAAGAGAGATCGGCGGCTCTTCAGTCTGCACGCGGCGTCGCGACGCTACCCGAACCGCGTGCATATCGCGCTCTTGTGGTGCTTGTCATCGGTTTCTCGCGAAGTTCAATGAAATCCTCGATTTTTCCTCAATATCCTGCGAATATCGATCCGAGGAGTGATCTGCTTCGATTATCGAATGATCGAGGGCTCGAAGATGGAAGTGCGGCATCGCGATCCTTGAATCGGCGGGCCAACCTTGGGTAAGTCGATGAAAAATTCATTAATCGTTCGACTGTTTCTTCGAGTGAAATAATCGATATATCTGTGATGGATCTAGGATATGATAAAATATTTTGGCAGACAAACTTTCGAGTCGGTTTTACATAAATTACATTGTAAATTACATTCGAGAATCTTTTATTAATCCAAGCAAGAGAGAGGACCTTGAACTCGGAGCGCGACCTCATCGAGATCAATCGCGAAATTTGCAGCTTTGCAAGGAAATTAATTTTAAAGTGTAATAAACGTGTATTGTGGGCGTATCGCTGAAATTTTGACCAGGTATAAGAAAGGAAATGTGCCTCTCTAATTGTAAGACCAAATAGTCCGACAACCAATAAATATTTGCCCTTGCATCGGATCAGGTAGGCTCGCCGTCACTTATAGATGCAAAGCATGCGATGGTTTAGCGGCGCGAAAATAATTAAGACGCCGTCAACACGCATCGGTCAACATGCATCAAAATTAAATAGAATAATTTCGTTACATCGAGAAAAATGTCTTCAACATATAATTAAAGGCGTCTAGGCTTTAATTAATCCACCAGTCGTTTAAATTTAATCGTCTCCTATCTCTTGTTAATTGATCATTTCGATCAGTAAATTGACGCCTGTGCAACACAAACAGGTATACATTATCTCTTGGCGTATTTTACATTTAAATTGTTTTTACTATCTGATCACAACTAATTTCATTATCTGATTATTGATCTTTTAAGCATAATATAGTGTCGGTAGTCATTACATTTTTTTAATGTAATCGAGAAAGAAAAAAAGGAAGAGGACACGTCTGTTTCACACACAAATGAGATAATCACATTTCTTCAAATTACATAATATATAACATCGAATATTCTCGAGAAATAAAAAATTCTCACTTTTTTTACAAAGAAATTATATTGTAACATGTATATATTCGTGGAGTTGATCTAAAAAGAAAAAGTTAAATTAAATCCGATATACCCAGCTTCCTTTCTTTCCGCGTCAGAGTTTACGCGATGATAAATTGCTCGTGGATGAACGAACCATGTTTCCGTTTATTTCGAAGACGTGAATTATTCCGAAGGCTCCATAGAGAGACGAATACGAGATCGATTCCATGACTATGGCAATTACTCTCGTATGCATATTACGGACAGTAAGCCGACGGCAGGCAGCGCTAAAGGGAAGAGGTATGCATTATGCATTGTTAATTTAGTCTAGCCTCGCCAATTACACGCGAGTTCTATTCGCGATGGCAATAGCATTGAATTTCGTTCGGTCTCGACGCGCGATAACACAACACCTGCCACCCCTATCGTGTTTACCTACGACACGTATTTCGGACACGTTTCACCGACACAAAGCGGGCGTTCTCTCCTTCTCTCTCTCTTGTGTGATAAATCTCCATATCCTAATCTAATCAGTCATGTTTCGCAAAAGTGACTCCTTTTTTCACTGACGATAAAATAATGAAATAATGTATTTAAAGAGGTTGTATTTAGATATATGGATCTCGTTAAAAAATTTCACGCGTAATGCCTCTCTATGAAAAGTTGAATAAATTTTTTGAAAAATGAAGCTGTACGACCTCTCTCTCTCTCTTGCAAGCATATATAATTCAATCGGGAAGCTCAATGCACGGAGAGTTGCGATGATGATGTTTCTCGTTCTTCGCGCGACAATCATCCAACATGACGTACGTGTGTTAACTTTTGCCTATTCTTTAAATAAATATAAATGTTATCAGCATCAACAAAGTATTTGTATTATATTTTGCATGGAAATAAATCGCTTGCGAAAGGAGAAGAGCGTATATATTTTAAATGTATAGGATCAGTGTTAAAATTTCATATTCTATTGATAATATTTATCGATAATATACAATAACATTATTGAAAAAGAAAAATACTATTTTTCTTAGATGTATTTTCTCTCTTGTAATAACGCATTTGTTATTTATGTTACTGTTCAAAGTTGTCTTCTACACCTTTCTTCGACGCAATCTAAATAAACACAGGAACGTGTATCAGCGCATCCTTAAAAGAGACAAATCGAGAATTGCGAGAAAGCAATTTCGCTGCCTAGAAAGCGCGTTTAAAGGGAAACGTATTAAAGGGACTCCGGAACTTTCAGTAATTCTGAAAAGCACGCAATCAATGTATTCATGCGAATACGCGCACTCACCGGTCAGCTGCGCATATCGAATGGGAGAAACCATTTTGTGATTTTAATTCTATTTTTGCAGGAGAGAATCCCTCGTCCGAATTGACGTCAGGTTGAACAGACGCGGATATAGCGACGAAAAAAAATCACAAAAATTATTGCGCAATCTGCTCACACACCGTTTCTAAATTTGATCTTATTTATTTTTTGAATTCTCGAGGGAAGAAGTATGTATCCCGTAGAGATAATGGTAAAGTAGAGATATACGTTCGTGTCCAAAAATAGACAGTCACGATATACAAAGACCTTTTAAACACTGCAACCTAACTTCCGCAGTTCTGAATAAATTTAAGGTCGTCGAGATTTCGAATGTAACATTTGCAAAAATACTCGAGAAACAACACGATCCATATCTAGACTTTGAAACATAAACAAACATAAAGAAAAAGATTGTTAACACTTGGACTATTTAGAAAGGGCGAATTACACGCGCGCCAGTTCGTTCTCGTTTTTACACTTTTTATATTCGTCACCTAGCTATTTCGTGTTTTATTTCTAACTATATTCGCTTTTTTTCCTTATTTTTTATTTTTTATATTTATTACAATCAATCATTTCTCAGTTAGTAAATATACTAGCGCTGCAAACCGAACTGTCAATATGCAATTTATCATTTATTTCAAATCTACACGCGCGATTATTTGCATTGTATATATATATATACATGTCATTTACTTCATTAAAGAAAAATATGTAACATCTGAATTTATTCTAAATTATTATTCTAAAAGTGAAATTCATCTACAAAAGAAACAATGCCAACTATTTCAAAAATTTGCATTACGTGTACTTTATCCTACAATTTTAAACCATAACTCACAAAAGAAAGAAAGAACGAAGAAACCCTGAAAGCTAAATTTTATAAACAGATGAAAATGAAGAGTCAACAAACGTTAACAATAATTCATTGATTTTGAAAGTATCGGTGAAATAAATGAAAAGTGCTTCGAGAAATTAAATTTCCGCGCCTGTGATTGACAAATGCGTAATTTCATCAGAAAATCGGAAACTTTACTTTTTACTGCGCCGAAACTAGACCATATTCTCATTTCTTCGTCGTTTCTCGTACAAAACGAACAATAATTTCAAGTAAGTTTTCCGGATATTAGAACACAATCGATAACGTGGGATCAGATAAGTCAGTCAAGGTTTTGCGTAGTTCCCATGGACTTTAATCGAGAATGTTCGACAATCGCGTGAAGAATCTATTAATTTGCATCAGATTCATATGCGCTTCTCACTTTTCATCCTTATTGTTATTACTAATCTTTTAAAGCAATTTATTATAACGCGATTAAATAAACCTTATCTAGTTTTTATCTCTGATGCCCAATTTCAATAAAAAATTAAATTCTATATAATTATTTTTGTCATAAAATGTATATTAACCTTGATTAATTTGTTCTCGCAGACAGCAAGAGATGATCTTTGTTTTATACGTCTAAGTTAATACTATATAAGTGTATATTTGTATTATAAAACATTTAAATTTTTTGCACAATTTCCAAAGACATATCTTAATTGATGTGCTAATGATTGTAGTTTCAAATTTAACGTTTCTCTGCTCGTGCTATTGCATATTATTTTACCTATTACCATAAAAAGTGTTATTATCGTATCTAGTAGATCATTTGCAAAAAAAAACACGTAAAAAAGGAACGAAATCGAAGCGGGCCATCTTATCTCCGCAGAACCATTTGTAGTCTAAATGGTCGAATCAACAGCGATGATCCCCAAATCTACACGATCATCTGCAAACACGTAGAGTCTCGTATCGTCGAGGACGCACGATAATCGACACGCGAGCGATATTGCGAGATATATGTATACGAAAACGGGCGTTATGGAAAATGAGGGGTGTCAAATCAAGCTCAATAACTAGTTGTCGTTCACTTATCAACTTCAACCCTCACCGAGCATTCTCACGCATCGCATTTAACGTACACCGGTCGATACACCTTCTGCTTGTGCTTTTTCCTCGTGTAAAGTCTGCCCCTGCAGATATAGAACGGATCATCGCAATATTTTTATCCAAGAGAGAGAGAGAAATTGACATGAAATATCGATAACATCGAAATAATACGACGTGCGTATTTCGCCGGTTATTGAAACACCTTGTGTACAACAGTTGTTCTTTCGACGCAAAACAATATGAAATATTTGTCTTACATCTTGTATAACAATGAATTCACATATACACCACGTGCTATTGATAAAAGCGAAATTTCGTTTGAAAACACTAGTTTGTATGTTCAGATTAAATATTATATATGTGTATGTATATGCACATATGTAAAGTTGTCTATGACGCTTTGTTACTGATAGATATCACTTGTGCGCTGCTTTTTTGTCACCCCTAAAATAAGCCGCGAGAAAATCATGGCAAGAAAACACATCTGTGTAAATGCATATGTATGTTTATCAGCAAAATCAATTATCTGTATTTGCCCTGGGACAACGTTTGTTTAATTTCATCTTATTGCCTCAGAGCACATCTGCACTGGCCAATCGGTCCCAGACTGAAAATTATTGATGTTTGATAGTTTTGATACTACACCAGCGAGACTCGCTAGTTCTGTTATATAATCCGATTATACAACAGCTGCTACGAGAAAAGAGAGATAGAAAGGCAATGTCGACTCTCTACTTTAATCTCCTTCTGTGTGTGTAAATCTCCAAATCGATAGATAAAATCCAACCTCATCATCCCGTGAACTTCCGGAGTCTTAGTGCTTTTAAAGGGACGTCGGAAACGTCGCTTGCGCGAAACAATTCTC